ACTCTTAGTGGCCCTCAACATGCTCTCATGACAAAATAATTTAAACAAAAATCTCTTTAAAATTCCTTTGTGCCTTCTAGAAGGCATCGGGGCAATTTCCCCATGTTTTTAGGGATCCTAGCAACCCTGGCTTACCCACAAACTCATTTTCTTTTTTTAAAAATAAATATTTTTTGGTAATTATAGAGTGCAAGGTGGCTTTTTAATTTAACAAAATATCCATTGTTGGCAGAGGATAAGTAACTACCTTTTAAGCAATCATGAGTGTAAACTTAAATACTATTTTTATAAATACAACATAGCACAAAAACTGAGTTTTTTGGTTATTTTTATAAAACCAATGGATCTTTATCTTTTATTACACAATATTTACAAAAATGAAGCATAACTATTACAACTTAATCCTAAATATGCATAAAATGGCTTTAAATGCTTATCTTTGCATAGATCAGGCTATTAACCTTCCAGTGACTTTACTGGACAAGTTATTCAGGTTTACACTATGATGGACAAAAAGATAAATCAGATACATGATAAAAAAGCATTGCTATTAAACATGATCTTGGAGTTGGTTAAGGAAAACAGTTTCGACTTAAAACAAAATGATCACAAAACAGTACAACCACAAAAGACAGAGACCTCTATGGTTTTCAAAGCAGAGAATGTTGACAAAGGTGAATCACAAAAATGTTATTTACTTTCCTGGGTAAGCCTGCACTGATTAGTTTCAATTTAATTCATGTTACCCTCTTGTTTATACATGAAGACAGCCACAAATGATAATAGTGGTAGATTTTAACTGCATTAGCAGTACTTAGCTTTGGAAACTGCACATGAAACAGGCACAGCCTTCTACATAAGCCGACAAAATATACTTGCCCACCAGGGAGAGGGGAAGGAGACACAGGAGGTTTCCCCATCTCTCCTTCTTTCACCTTAGAGACAGTATGCTAATGTTTCAATCCAAGGCTGCACTAACAAAAAAGACGATGTTCCCATGAAGAGGCGAAACTGAAAACATTCACCCAAGTTTATGTGCTTTAATAACTGTGGTTGAGTAAAAAGTGAGGTGGACAAACTATACAGGATTATTTAGAAATATGTCTTCCTAACTGTAACTTACAGTATGCAAACTCTCTCTAAAAGATTTTGTCTGCAATCCAGTAATCACAACTAGAATAGGCTCATTCTATCAACAGGGATTTGGTGAGTCAACCCCTCTGTCAATTGCACTGATTCAATTGGCCTACTCTAGTTGCTACTACTGGATATCAGCCATTAAAATGTAGTAATAATGTTGGTGAATAGAAGTACTTGGTTCACAGTCATGTGTTCTCAATGCAGTTGGGATGTTCCAAACCACCAGCAGCTTTCCCCACTTGTGTGCCACACAAGTAAAGTTTAAATTATTATGTTTCCCGAAAAGAAGACAGGGTCTTATATTAATTTTTGCTCCCAAAAATGCACTAGGGCTTCTTTTCAGGGGATGCTTAATTTTTTCCATGTACAATAATCTAGTAGTTGCTTAGTCGTGTCCAACTCTTCATGACCCCATGGACCAGAGCACGCCAGGCCCTCCTGTCTTCTACTGCCTCCCGGAATTGGGTCAAATTCATGTTGGTAGCTTTCGTGACACTGTCCAGCCATCTCGTCCTCTGCCGTCCCCTTCTCCTCTTGCCTTCACACTTTCCCAACATCAGGGTCTTTTCCAGGGAGTCTTCTCTTCTCATGAGATGGCCAAAGTACTGGAGCCTCAGCTTCAGGATCTGTCCTTCCAGTGAGCACTCAGGGTTGATTTCCTTCAAAATGGATAGGTTTGTTCTCTTTGCAGTCCAGGGGACTCTCAAGAGTCTCCTCCAGCACCACAATTCAAAAGCATCAATTCTTCCACGGTCAGCCTTCTTTATGGTCCAGCTCTCACTTCCATACGTCACTACTGAAAAAACCATAGGCTTGACTATGCGGATCTTTGTTGGCAAGGTGATGTCTCCAATTTTCTTTTTCCTCTGCTGTTTAGGTTTGTCATCGCTTTCCTCCCAAGAAG